TGTTCAAGGACTCTTACAGGACCCAGGAGAGACAAGAGGAACTAAACACAAATAGTGAAATTGAAAGAAATTTGAAATATTTCTTTTCATATGCCAAAAACAAGGCAAATACCACATCTAGTATCGGGCTCTTGCTCAGACAAGATGGGACTTACACAGATGACAACAAAGAAATGAGTGAGATACTGAAATCCCAATATGAATCCATGTTTAGTGAGCCACTAATCAGTCTGAAGATCGACAATCCAAAGGATTTTTTCATGAATGAGCCTCAAAACTCCATCAGAATATGCCAGATTTCTGACATTACTCTAACTTTGAGAAAGTCATTGACAACATGTCCATGCACTCAGCCCCACGCCCAGACTTGTGGAACTCCGTGTTCATTAAGAATGGCAAGAAACTCCTTTCACATGCCCTAAGTATACAGTGGACCCTCAGATAATGATAAAATTGGATACCGATGCATTTTTGCGTAAAAATACTGGCTCGGCTAACGATGAAAAACTCAGTTAAGAACAATCATCCCAAACTTGTCCGGGTGGCCTGGGCCGCCCATGGCTGCCCAGCTACTATGTACAGCCGGTGTGACATTGTTTCCACGTGTACATGCGATACATTTTATATTATTCCAGTGTTTCCAGTGCTTGTAACTGCTAAATAAGCCACCATGGGCCCAAAAAAGGCTTCTAGTGCCAACCTTGTGGTAAAAAGGGTGAGAAATACTATCGAATTGAAGAAAGAGATAATCGCAAGTACGAAAGTGGAGTGCGTGCCTCTGAGCTGGCCAGGTTGTATAACAAACCCCAATCAACCATCGCTACTATCTTGGCCAACAGAAAGGCAATCAGGGAAGCTGTTGTTGTGAAAGGTGCAAATGGGCTTACAAAACAGAGATCGCAAATACTCGAAGATGCGGAGAGACTGTTATTGGTGTGGATCAATGACAAACAATTATCAGGAGATAGTGTTTCACAGTCAATCATATGTGAAAAGGCAAGGCAGTTGCATGATGATCTCATTAAGAAAATGCTTGGAACTAGTGCTGATGTTAGTGAATTTAGATTTAAGAATCGTAGTGGCATACACAGCGTGATAAGGCATGGTGAGGCTGCCAGTTGTGACCAAAAAGCGGCTGAAAAATATGTGCAGGACTTTAAGGGGTATGACTCATGAAATCGTAATGACACGATTGCAAACAAACCATACCACGAGCGGGGATAGAACCCGCGATCTGAGAGTCTCAGATCGCGGGTTCTATCCCTGCCCGTGGTATGGTTTCTTTAAGAGGTACATAGAGGCTGAAAAATTAAAACCCCAACAAGTGTTCAATTGTGACAAAACAGGCCTGTTTTGGAAGAAAATGCCAAACAGGACCTACATTATTCAGGAGGAAAAGGCACTCCCAGGACACAAGCCTATGAAAGACAGGCTAACTCTCATGTTTTGTAGTAATGCTAGTGGGGATTGCAAAGTGAAGCCTTTACTCATGTACCACTCTGAAACTCCCAAGTATTCAAGAAAAACAGTGTCCTCAAGGCTAATTTCTGTGTGATGTGGAGGGCAAATAGTAAGGCATGGGTCACTAGGGACATTTTCCACGATTGGTTATATCACGTGTTTGGCTCCAGTGTGAAAAAATACCTCCTGGAAAATAAATTGGACCTCAAGTGCGTCCTGGTATTAGACAACGCTCCTGCTCATCCTCCAGACTTGCAAGAGCGAATTGTGGGGGAGTTGAGTTTCATAAAAGTGAGGTTTTTGCCTCCGAACACCACTCCTCTCCACCAGCCCATGGACCAGCAGGTCATTTCAAATTTCAAAAAATTGTACACCAAAGCAGTGTTTCAAAAGTGCTTTGAAGTGACCTCAGACACTAAACTGACCTTAAGAGAGTTCTGGAAAGGTCACTTCAGTATCCTCAGTTGCATAAACCTTATAGGTAAGGCTTGGGAGAGAGTGACTTGAAGGACTTTGAACTCTGCTTGGAGAAAATTGTGGCCAGAATGTGTACAAGAGAGGGATTTTGAAGGGTTTGGGGCTAACCCTGAAGAGCCTATACCAGTTGTGGAATCTACTGTGTCAGTGGGAAAGACCATGGGGTTGGAGGTTGGTGGCGAGGATGTGGAAGAGTTGGTGTAGGAAGATGATGAAGAGCTAACCACTGATGAGCTGCAAGAGTATCTGCAACAGCAACAGACCACAGCTGAGGAAATTGCTTCAGAGGAGGGGAGAGAGAGATGGAGGAAGTTACCTTCTTCAACGATTAAGAACATTTGTACAATGTGGACAAAGGTTCAAGCCTTTATGGATGAACATCACCCTCACACAGCTGTTGCAAGCCATGCTGGTGACTTTTACAATGACAATGTTGTGTCCCATTTTAGGAAAATCTTAAAGGAATGCCAGAAATAGAGCTCTATGGACAGATTTTTGGTATGACAGAGGTCCAGTGACTGTCAAGTTGTTCCCAGTGGCATTAAAAAACAAAGAAGGGAAGTAACCCCGGAAATGGAGTTGCTACCTAAAGTCCTTATGGAAGGGGATTCCCCTTCCAAACAATAATACACCTCCATCGTCTCCCCTCCTCCCATCTCATCACTCATCAATAAATCTTCAATAAAGGTAAGTGTCATTTATTCTTCATGTCTCATTGTTTTCTGTGTAGGAAAATGTATATTTCGTGTGAAAAAAAATTTTTGTTTAATACCTTTGGGTGTCTGGAACAGATTAATTGGATTTCCATTATTTCTAATGGGGAAAATTAAATCGGATAACAATAAAATCGGTTAAGGACAAGCTCTGGAACGGATTAAAATCGTTAACTGAGGGTCCACTGTACTATGGAAATTCCAAAGTCACTTAAAACAATGGATACAGCCCCACTCCATAAAGGTGGCAGCAAAACATTAGCTAAGAACTATACACCAATAGCTCTAATGTCCCACATCAAAAAAATCTTTGAAAGAGTTCTATGAAGCACTATTGCAAACCGCTTGGATTCCCAAAAATGCACAATCTAGGGCAACATGGGTTCAGAGCAGGTCGCTCCTGCCTCTTGCAACTACTGGATCATTATGACATAGTCTTGGATGCACTGGAAGAAAAAAAGAATGCAGATGTAATATACACAGACTTTGCAAAAGCCTTTGACAAGTGCAATCATGGTGTAATAGCTCATAAAATACATGCTAAAGGAATAAATGACAAAATGGGGAGATGGATCTTCAACTTTCTAACCAATTGAACACAAAGACTAGTGGTCAACAGAGATAAATTGGAAGCTGGCATGGTGAAAAGCTGTTCCACAAGGCACAGTACTCGCCCCCATCCTGTTCCTCATCCTCATATCAGACACAGACAGAGATGTAATCCACAGCACCGTGTCATCCTTTGCAGACAATACCAGGATCTGCATGAGACTCATCTATTGAGGACACTGTGAACCTCCAAGAAGATAAAAACCGAGATTTCCAATGGGCAACAAAGAACAATATGATGGGCAATGAAGACAAATTCCAACTACTCTGTTATGGAAAACTGGAGGAGATAATGACTAGAACCGAGTATACTACAAACTCTGATCATAAAACAGAGCGGAAAAATAATGTGAAGATCTCACTTTCAAGGATCACAACAGTGCCATGATCACAACTGCAAAGAAAATGATTGGATGGATAATGAGAACATTCAAAACAAGAGATACCAAGCCAATGATTATTCTTTTCAAATCACTTGTTCTCTCTAGGCTGGAATACTGCTGCACGTTAACATCTTCATTCAAAAGCAGGTGAAACTGCAGATCTAGAGAGTTTACAGAGAACCTTTCCTGCACATATAAATTCTATCAAACACCTCAACTACTGGGAACGCTTGGAAGCACTTGACTTGTATTCGCTGGAATGCAAGTGAGAGAGATGTATCATAATCTACACTTGGAAAATCCTAGAAGGGATGGTCCCAAATCTGCACACAGAAATCACTCCCTACGAAAGTAAAAGACTTGGCTGGCGATGCAAAATACCCCCAATGAAAAGTAGAGGCACCATTTGTACACTAAGAGAAAACATAAGTATCCAGGGCCCAAGACTGTTCAACAGCCTCCCACCCACCATAAGAGGAATTACCAATAGGCCCCTGGCTACCTTCAAGAGGGAGCTGGACAGATACTTAAAGCCGGTGCCGGATCAGCCGGGCTGTGGTTCGCACATGGGACTATGTGTGGCCAGAAGTAACAGCCTGGTTGATCAGGCCCTGATCCACCAAGAGGCCTGGTTGTGGACCAGGCTGCAGGGAAATTGATCCCCAAAATACCCTCCAGGTAAACTCCAGGTAGACGCTGCTCCACATTTTAGCTGCCTCTTACGACACGCACGACTTACAGAGGAAGAATTCTGTTCTACGTCCCCTTGGAGATAAGAGGAAATAAACAAGGACAAGGACTAGTAAGAAAAATAGAAAAAAAAAACCCCAGAGGGGTGTGTATATAGCCTCTCCTCACTTAATGACGTACTCGTCGTTAATAAAAATGTAATAAGAATATAGGGGATACAAAATGACATTTTGCACTGAAGTGAATGTAAAATGATTCCTCACTCTTCATACTAATACTGATGGGTGTTTTTGGAATCAGCAATACTTGGCTAAGAGCATATACACATATTTACTCCTACAACTGCAAACAGGCAATCATACACACACATATATAGTTCACTTACCCATGCAACTACAAACAGGCAATCATACACATGCTTTAACATACATACAACTACAAATAGGCAATCATACACATGCTTTAACATACATATATAGTTCACTTACCCAAATAACTGCAAACAGGCAATCATTCATATTCTCTCACACATACAGTTCACTTTCCTATTCAACCACAAACAGGCGATCACACACATGCTCTCACATGCATATATAGTTCATTTAAACTTGTGCCACTACAAGCAGATAATGATACACATTCTCACATGTATATACAGCTCACTTACTTGCCCATAGAAAACTTATTTTTTGAATCAGCATCTCGTATTATATCACCCACTTTTCGCTTCTGACGTAATTTCTTGGATGACTTGGTATCACCATCCTCTTTCTGCTAGTGAAAAAGATGAGATGACAATATGCATAATTTATGTATTTGCCATATACATAAATTATGTACAGTATATGCAGATTGCACACTGAATATAAGTAGAAGTGAAATGTATTCTCACTGGCTACTAAACCCTTTTCACTCAGTTACATAGATCTACATCTGTGGGATCAGTGTTGTTCATACAGATTTATGCATAATTCACAGCACCTTCAAATTTACTGTGACTGGCAAATTTTGGCCTAGAATTACAAGAAAGGGTCTATGTGGTGAGTGTGCACAGTATAAAAAAAATCCTGCCCCACTCATTGCACAATGGAAGCAACTAATCTCTGATCTTGTGCTTAGATTAAAATAGTGACTTCAGGACATTTCAGAGTTTTATTGTCTATTTCTTGATACAAATAGACAGACTGAAAGACATACTAGTAAAACAAAACAAATTGGGGTCAGTTTCAGACCAAAAGTGGCTTGAAACAGGCCTCAAAGTGCCAGAAATTAATGATTAGGGGTGATTTTCCTGGGGAATAACAGCGATCTCCAGCCCTTCCCCATTCTGTTTTATGGGTTTTTACTAGGCCTGCATTAATTACTGGGATGGCCTAAACCATGTCCAAGCATTTTTGGTTATGGTTTATTTGCTGAGACATATGAAAAAATATCAGATTTTTGTATGACAATGGGTTCAAAACAGAGGGCATGTGTTATATTGGAAAAGCCTGAAGACATGAATAATGAACAGAAGGAAGATTGCTTTAGTGGCTTGAATATCTATAGTGCTTGTTTTGGACTCTTGTTTTAGATTGGAATTTGTTGAAAATTATGTAAAATTGGCAAAATTACCAAATTCTGGGCACTTAACAAGGTAATTTGATGGCTGAATCAACAGTTTCTTTTGAGTAATGGATAATATAGATGGCATACTAGTGAAATAGTGGGGAACTGTCTGAAATTGGCTTTAATGTGAGCAAAATCACCGATGTGCAAAGTGCTCCCAGACCTCCGATTTCATGCCTGTGTAATCTCAAAAGCATTATATTTTGCAATTTTGGTGTCATGGTGTTTAGCAAATGATTCCTTTTCATTTTAAAAGATTTAAAAAAAAAAAAAAACAAGCCAGCACAGAAAGGGCTTTCAATTTGGGGGTGTTGACATGAAAGGATTAAGTAGTTTCTTACACTAGCATGTAAATCACTGATCCAGATTCAACAGCAATGCAAACAATCAGAAGTAGCAACCCAGGACTAACTGATTTTGAGAATCACATTTAGTGTTTGCCATTCTATACCAGTCATACAAGTCAAACACAAGACTGTTGGTTTTTAAATTTGTGCTTTGAAACTCAATTTGCATGCTGGGATTCACATTTTCTTAACCCTTTGACTGTCGCTAGCCCCTTCCTGAAACTGTCATTCTATGTCGCACAATTTTTGGAAAGAAAACAAATATTTTTTTCTTGTGAAATGATAGAGAATCTTTTTCCGATAGTAATGACACCAAAAATATGAAATTTGGTCGAAAACACACGGAATTACGCACCCACGAAGTTAATGGTCTCGGCGACATATACGCATCGGCGATTTCGCTGACTTTGAGCCCTGTTTTTGACCAATTCCGTTGTTCCAGCTGACCAAACTCATAGCTATTTCTTTAGAACTACATTTTTTCTATCAGCTGAGTACAAGAAACTGCCCATTTACCGATTTGAACTACCCAATAATGTGCTCAGAAATTGGCAATTTGGCCAATTTCACGCAAATTAAAAAAGATGCCAATTTCAAAATAGGGTCCAGAATAAACAATGTAGACATTCTTGGCACTAAAATAACATATCCTCTGTTCATTAGTCATGTCTCTAGGCCCCTCTTATATTACTATTGCTTTCTATTTTGATTTTTTATTCATACAAAAAATACAAAATTTACTGTTATGCAGACTACTGCATTATTGTAAAAATGGTATAAATAATATTAGCGCACTAGTGAAGGAATATCAGGCTCCCCTGTTGACGTGTACTGGACGTGTGGTGTGATTTGCTTACTAGTGAACATTGGTAAAAACCAAACATTTCCGCTAATTTGAGCTCAATTTCAAGGTCGTTTTCTTCGTGAAACTAATCAAAATCATCTCTATTTCTGTAATATGTTTTCCATTTTATCACATGAGACCATGAAAACGAGAATACAACTATAAATACTATACGAAAATACACCTCAAAGCCGGCGTTTTAATCCAAAAAAAAAAACGGTCATTTTTTTCTTATTATGCACTGCATGCTGCAGGATTTTTTTTATGTGGTGCACACTAACCACACAGACCCATTCTCTCACATGTGGGCCTACCAGCTTTCTCCTGCTTGATTTGAAGCTGCTAGAATTTACGCGTATAAATACGTCAGAAACAGTGGCACGTAGCCATATATATACGACCAAAATGGTCAAAGGGTTAAAAGATACATTGGTGGGAGACAGCCAATGTGGTAAAAAAAAAAAAATCCTAGATGACTGGTGTTTGGTTTATCAAAAAAAACAAAAGTGTTTTGTGGCACATTCTTTGTCATAATAATACCACTTCCTTTCAAATATTTCCTTACATGCTAAGCCCTGAGTAATATAATGAATGCAAAGGAGCCTTTACTGTATCATGAGATTTGTCAAGATTAACACCTTGACTGTCGCAACGCAAAATCCTGAGGTGTCTCCTGGTGTCACAAAATTTAAAAAAAAAAAAAAAAAAAATTTCTTGTGAAATGATAGAGAATCTTTTCCCGATTGTAATGACACCAAAAGAACAAAATTTGATGGAAAACTGACAGAATTACGCTCTTGCAAATTTAGCGACCTTGGCGATATTTACAAATCGGCTATTTCGCCTACTCTGAGCCCTATTTTCGGCTAATTCCATTGTTCCAGTCGACCAAACTCATTGCTATTTCTTTAGAATTCCATTTTTTCTATCGATTGAGTACAAGAAACTGCCCATTTACCGATTTCAACTACCCAATAACATGGTCAGAAATTTGCAATTTGGCCAATTTCACGAGAATTAAAAAATATGACAATTTTAAAATATGGTCCAGAATGAACAATGCAGACATTCCAGGCTCTAAATTAGCATTTTCTCTGTTCATCAATCACGTCTCCAGGCCCCTCTGATATTATTCTTGCTTTCTATTTTGAACTTTTATTGCCGACCTAGAAAATGTACAGAGAACTTTCACGGCGCGCATAACGGAGATAAAACACCTCAATTACTGGGAGCGCTTGAGGTTTCTAAACCTGTATTCCCTGGAACACAGGAGGGAGAGATACATGATTATATACACCTGGAAAATCCTAGAGGGACTAGTACCGAACTTGCACACGAAAATCACTCACTACGAAAGCAAAAGACTTGGCAGACGATGCACCATCCCCCCAATGAAAAGCAGGGGTGTCACTAGCACGTTAAGAGACCATACAATAAGTGTCAGGGGCCCGAGACTGTTCAACTGCCTCCCAGCACACATAAGGGGGATTACCAACAGACCCTTGGCAGTCTTCAAGCTGGCACTGGACAAGCACCTAAAGTCAGTTCCTGATCAGCCGGGCTGTGGCTCGTACGTTGGTTTGCGTGCAGCCAGCAGCAACAGCCTGGTTGATCAGGCGCTGATCCACCAGGAGGCCTGGTCACAGACCGGGCCACGGGGGCGTTGACCCCCGAAACTCTCTCCAGGTAAACAAAAAATAGATTTACTGTTATGCAGACTTCTGCAATATTGCAATAATTGTATAAATAATGTCAACCCATTCATGACTGCATATTAGAATGGCTACTTGGACATTTATTGGAAAATGACATCATTTGTTTACTTTTGAACATTGGCAAAAATCAACATTTCTCCTACATTGAGCTCCATTTTAAGGTTCTTTTCATAGTAAAACCAATCAAAATCACCTCTATTTCTATAATATGTTTTCCATTCTATCAAATGAGAGCAAGAAAATGAGAATACAACCATAAATACTATATGAAAACAGACCACAAAGTCAGTTTTTTTTTCTCATTATGCACTGCGTGTTGCAGGATTTTTTTTTATATAGTGCACACTGACCATGCAGACCCATTCTCTCACATGTGGGCCTACCAGCTTTCTCCTGTTTGATTTGAAGTCGCAAGAATTTATGAGTATACATGTATATAAGTCAAAAACGGTGGCTCGTAAGGCGTATATATATGACCGAAACAGTCAAAGGGTCTAAGGTAGAGAATGCCTATTTATTATGACTGAGGAACTGATTACCTTATCTTCTACTGTCTCCATTTGAACACCTACTAAAGCCAGGGAACTGATTATCTCATCTACTGCCCTCAGTTTATAATCTACATATAGAATGGAAGAGGCCACTTGTGATTGGTAAAATATCAAAACAAAGATACTCAGGTGTTGCATGTGTCTATTACTCAGCAGTTGTTTTTGTATAACGTTGTGAAACATACAACACAGCCGCCTCTTCTTTCATCATCATACTCACCATACTGTTGGTGCTATGCTGTTTTTCTGCAATACAAAGCCTAAAAGAAAACTAAATATATAAATATTTTTCTTACCTCTTCCACCTTACCATTCTGTTTCACCTTTCTTTTCTCATAACCTTCTGGTTTTTTGAATTCTGGGCAACCTTCATTTTTCCATTCACTCCACATTTCTTCTCTCTAGAAACAAAAATTAAGGCAATAACAAAATACATGTAACTTAATGAAAATGTCATCTCATGTCAATCCATAACAGAAAGATTAGCTAGAAAAATATATTTCAAAGTAAAATATGATGGAATTTGTTAATTTAAGCAAGCAGGCTAGCACAGTAAGAGAATAGAGGTAAACTGTACAAAAATATTGTGTGAAATATAAGTACTGAAATCAGAGAAGCATTTTAATAAATAAAAGCACATCTATTGTAAGTAAAAGTAATCTTTGATTACTAGCAACTTCCATATGGCATAAAAATGGGGAAGTGGAACAGAATTCTTCCTCTGTAAGCCATGCATGTCATGAAAGGTGACTAAAATGTCAGGAGCAAGGGGCTAGTAACCCCTTCTCCAGTACAAATTACTAAATTTAAAAAGTAAAATGTTTGGTTTTCTTTTTAGGTCACCCTGCCTCAGTGGGATATATCCAGCTCATTGACAAAAAATGTAAAAAGAAGATAAACTTTATAGTTTTCTACTTTTTCGGGTCATTGTGCTTCGGTGGGAGAAGGCAGGTGTGTTAAAAAATTAATAATAAAATGCAGCTTTTTATCCTAGTTCTTAATGTGTAGCATTATGAAGACATACTAATTTCACTAACTGAACATTGTTCCACAATACTTTTTTTTTTTTAACACACTGGCTATCTCCCACAACAAAGTGGGAGACCTGAAAAGAGAAACACTTTCACCATCACTCACTCCATCATTATCTTGCCAGAAGCTACATTACAACTAAGATGCCCCTGCAAACTGCAATATCACCATCCCTTAAGAGTGCAGGCACTGTACAGTGGAACCATGGCTTATGAATGCCCCACTATGCAAATTTTTCAGGATATGAACAGTTACTCGTTCGACTTTTTGCTTCTAGATACGAACGAAATTTCAGGATGCGAACTTCCCCCTCAAGGGAGGTTCCTTGGTGAGGGGCTCTTGATCAAGAGAGTTGGATCTGTGCTCCACTTCCCTAAATTAATAATAATATTTTGAGGAACTTTTAACCCCTAAACAGTCCAAACAGATCGACATTCAAATTCGTAGTGCTACAAAAGTAGATCTACTTTTTTTTTACATATTTTCATATATAACAAAAAAAAAAGGAGATAAAAGTTTTTTTTTACACATTTTCAAGTGTAAAACAGAAAAGAAGATCTACATTTTTTTACATACTTTCAGATGTTGAAAAAACGTATATATAGGTTTGGACAATTTAAGGGTTAAATGTCAACGAAGAAAGGGAAGCGGTAATTTCATGCACTGGCCAGGAAGGTATAACATCTTTTAGGAGTGAAGAACAGGATGTGAGTGTGGGGGTGGTGTGTGAGGCATTACGTAGAATGAAAGGGGGTAAAGCAGCTGGAACTGATGGGATCATGACAGAAATGTTAAAAGCAGGGGGGGATATAGTGTTGGAGTGGTTGGTATTTTTGTTTAATAAATGTATGAAAGAGGGGAAGGTACCTAGGGATTGGCAGCGAGCATGTATAGTCCCTTTATATAAAGGGAAGGGGGACAAAAGAGATTGTAAAAATTATAGAGGAATAAGTTTACTGAGTACACCAGGAAAAGTGTACGGTAGGGTTATAATTGAAAGAATTAGAGGTAAGACAAAATGTAGGATTGTGGATAAGCAAGGAGGTTTCAGAGTGGGTAGGGGATGTGTTGATCAAGTGTTTACATTGAGGCATATATGTGAACAGTATTTAGATAAAGGTAGGGAAGTTTTTATTGCATTTATGGATTTAGAAAAGGCATATGATAGAGTGGATAGGGAAGCAATGTGGTAGATGTTGCAAGTATATGGAATAAGTGGTAAGTTATTAAATGCTGTAAAGAGTTTTTATGACGATAGTGAGGCTCAGGTTAGGGTGTGTAGAAGAGAGGGAGACTACTTCCCAGTAAAAATAGGTCTTAGAGAGGGATGTGTAATGTCACCATGGTTGTTTAATATATTCATAGATGGGGTTGTAAAAGAAGTAAATGCTAGGGTGTTCGGGAGAGGGGTGGGATTAAATTATGGGGAATCAAATACAAAATGGGAATTGACACAGTTACTTTTTGCTGATGATACTATGCTCATGGGAGATTCTAAAGAAAAATTGCAAAGGTTAGTGGATGAGTTTGGGAGTGTGTGTAAAGGTAGAAAGTTGAAAGTGAACATAGAAAAGAGTAAGGTGATGAGGGTATCAAATGATTTAGATAAAGAAAAATTTGATATCAAATTGGGGAGGAGGAGTATGGAAGAAGTGAATGTTTTCAGATACTTGGGAGTCGACGTGTCGGCGTATGGATTTATGAAGGATGAGGTTAATCATAGAATTGATGAAGGAAAAAAGGTGAGTGGTGCGTTGAGGTATATGTGGAGACAAAAAAACGTTATCTATGGAGGCAAAGAAGGGAATGTATGAAAGTATAGTAGTACCAACACTCTTATATGGGAGTGAAGCTTGGGTTGTGAATGCAGCAGCGAGGAGGCGGTTGGAGGCGGTGGAGATGTCCTGTCTAAGGGCAATGTGTGGTGTAAATATTATGCAGAAAATCTGGAGTGTGGAAATTAGGAGAAGGTGTGGAGTTAATAAAAGTATTAGTCAGAGGGCAGAAGAGGGGTTGTTGAGGTGGTTTGGTCAGTTAGAGAGAATGGATCAAAGAAGAATGACATGGAGAGTGTATAAATCTGTAGGGGAAGGAAGGCAGGGTAGGGGTCGTCCTCGAAAAGGTTGGAGGGAGGGGGTAAAGGAGGTTTTGTGGGTGAAGGGCTTGGACTTCCAGCAAGCGTGCGTGAGCGTGTTAGATAGGAGTGAATGGAGACACATGATATTTGGGACCTGACGATCTGTTGGAGTGTGAGCAGGGTAATATTTAGTGAAGGGATTCAGGGAAACCGGTTATTTTTATATAGCCGGACTTGAGTCCTGGAAATGGGAAGTACAATGCCTGCACTCTAAAGGAGGGGGTTTGGGATATTAGCAGTTTGGAGGGATATGTTGTGTAGCTTTATAGGTACATGCTTCTAAACTGTTGTGTTCTGAGCACCTCTGCAAAAACAGTGATTATGTGTGAGTGAGGTGAAAGTGTTGAATGATGATGAAAGTATTTTCTTTTTAGGGATTTTCTCTCTTTTTTGGGTCACCCTGCCTCGGTGGGAGACGGCCGACTTGTTAAAAAAAAAAATAATAATTATTATTTTTATAATACATACGTAGTAATAATAATACACTGCAGCAGGCCTGTTGGCCCATACTAGGCAGGTCCTTCACAATCCATCCCACTAACAGAATATTTGCCAAACTCAATTTTCAATGCTACCCAAGCAATAAGCTTCGATAATTCTATTTACTCATGTGCAAGTCCCACTCACATCCAACCCCTCTCACTTATGTAATTATCCAACACAAATTTAAAACTACCCAAGGTTTTAGCCTCAATAACCAGCCATTAATGAGTGTATTTAATGCGTCCATCCTTACCGGTGTTGTGGCAGAGCTGTGGAAGATGGCTAATGTGGTTCCTATATTCAAATCAGGGGATAAGCCCATTCCTTCAAATTACCGTCCAATAAGCCTGACATCTATAGTGGGCAAGTTATTATTTTTTTTTTTTTTTTTTTTTTTTTTTATTATCACACTGGCCGATTCCCACCAAGGCAGGGTGGCCCGAAAAAGAAAAACTTTCACCATCATTCACTCCATCACTGTCTTGCCAGAAGGGTGCTTTACACTACAGTTTTTAAACTGCAACATTAACACCCCTCCTTCAGAGTGCAGGCACTGTACTTCCCATCTCCAGGACTCAAGTCCGGCCTGCCGGTTTCCCTGAATCCCTTCATAAATGTTACTTTGCTCACACTCCAACAGCACGTCAAGTATTAAAAACCATTTGTCTCCATTCACTCCTATCAAACACGCTCACGCATGCCTGCTGGAAGTCCAAGCCCCTCGCACACAAAACCTCCTTTACCCCCTCCCTCCAACCCTTCCTAGGCCGACCCCTACCCCGCCTTCCTTCCACTACAGACTGATACACTCTTGAAGTTATTCTGTTTCGCTCCATTCTCTCTACATGTCCGAACCACCTCAACAACCCTTCCTCAGCCCTCTGGACAACAGTTTTGGTAATCCCGCACCTCCTCCTAACTTCCAAACTACGAATTCTCTGCATTATATTCACACCACACATTGCCCTCAGACATGACATCTCCACTGCCTCCAGCCTTCTCCTCGCTGCAACATTCATCACCCATGCTTCACACCCATATAAGAGCGTTGGTAAAACTATGCTCTCATACATTCCCCTCTTTGCCTCCAAGGACAAAGTTCTCTGTCTCCACAGACTCCTAAGTGCACCACTCACTCTTTTTCCCTCATCAATTCTATGATTCACCTCATCTTTCATAGACCCATCCGCTGACACGTCCACTCCCAAATATCTGAATACGTTCACCTCCTCCATACTCTCTCCCTCCAATCTGATATTCAATCTTTCATCACCTAATCTTTTTGTTATCCTCATAACCTTACTCTTTCCTGTATTCACCTTTAATTTTCTTCTTTTGCACACCCTACCAAATTCATCCACCAATCTCTGCAGCTTCTCTTCAGAATCTCCCAAGAGCACAGTGTCATCAGCAAAGAGCAGCTGTGACAACTCCCACCCTGTGTGTGATTCTTTATCTTTTAACTCCACGCCTCTTGCCAAGACCCTCGCATTTACTTCTCTTACAACCCCATCTATAAATATATTAAACAACCACGGTGACATCACACATCCTTGTCTAAGGCCTACTTTTACTGGGAAAAAATTTCCCTCTTTTCTACATACTCTAACTTGAGCCTCACTATCCTCGTAAAAACTCTTCACTGCTTTCAGTAACCTACCTCCTACACCATACACTTGCAACATCTGCCACATTGCCCCCCTATCCACCCTGTCATACGCCTTTTCCAAATCCATAAATGCCACAAAG